TGCGGGTGTCTATAACCATTAAGGATCATGTAAAAGATAGAAGGGCTTCAGCACCCCCAGTTTTTTCATTGAAATTGCGCTCCTGCTAGAGGTATAGAGCATAGAATAAAAAAAAATAAAAAGGTCATTCAAAATATGAATTTTAATTAGTATTTATATACACGGAAATAATAAATTCAAAACTCAGGACAGCATAATATGAATGGTACGAAGAAACTGATAAAGTTAAATAGTTCGGTACAAACAGCTATGATTGAAAGCTATACTTATACATACATACGACATTTAGACATTTAACGATGTTTAATACTTTTTTTTTTTTATTTTTTAAATGCAATCTACAATTTGTACCTCTTTGGCACAGTAAGTAGAGGTGAAACAGATTAGTTATACACAAATTATTAAAAAAAAATACATGATATATATAATGTATCCTTAATAATATTTATACATAATACGAGAATTTTTGAGGAAAACAGCCACCCATTAGTAACACTTTCATTAGCTATTTTATTTTATTTTTTAATTTTTATTTTCAGTTTTTTTTTTTCAATTAATATTAAAATTAGATGCCAAAAGATCACGACACCATTTTCGTTTTAAACGTCTCGGAGGGTTGCCAGGGATTGTAGGATTAGCAAGATTTCTGACAAGAGGATTGGGATGAGTTAAAGTGCGAAAATGGAAACGTTTATAGTATGCTTTAGCTTCTTCTGAAACTGAAGGCATTTTAAGGTCTGTATGTATAGTTAAGTTAGAGACATAAGAAGGGGCATTTAATAATTTGCGAAGTGCGATGATTTGAAATGTTTGGATTTTATTAATAATAGTTCTTTTTGCGTTTCCCCAAAGCTGTGGACCATATGTCCAAACAGGCTTTAGTAGTGATTTATAAATAAGTAATTTGGTATTGATGTGAGTATATTTATTACTGTTGATGAGGTTTTTTAGTAGGTGTAACGACGCGGATCGGTTTGTCTTCCTTAAGCTGGTAAGTATGGAATTCAGCGTTTTGTTCTTTTAAATATCGGACGAGAGTTCTATATGAGTCCGGATTGGTGGTTTGAATTTTTAACCGATCTGCAGAGGATTTACAGAAAAACTGTCCACACCGATAAGGTCTATAAGTTTTGTACACACTTCTGTATAAACAATCACGCCTCTTACGAAAATTGTAGGAGGAGGTTTAGGTGTATCGTTATGAGTGTTATGACTATTACTCGTATTGTCAATGAATACGTCATTCATTAAGCTTTCTTCGGGGGGTTCATTTGGACTAAGAAGTTCAAATCGATTCGTGGATTTAAATAATTTTTTGTTTTTATTCTTAGTTAAAGTTGACGAATTTAGTGAACCATGGGTAGACGTAGATGAAGAGTTTGATAGGTGTCATTTATTTTTTTTTTCAAAATAAAATCATCGTTTCAGTCATCATTCAGTGTAAACGATAATTTTTTGTCATTATTTTTATTTTTATTGTTATTCGCGATATTCGAAAGATTGGACATTGGTGATTTATTTTGAATATTATTTGTTAACGGCATATTAATAACGTCGGTATGAGTCTAATTAACGAGACCGCTGGTGGCGGTCTATTGATAAGAAGACACCGTATATTGAATATAACGATACGCAACGTTCGTAATACTATAATTAATTCAATTATATAATATACGAATAATCACAGATAGACGTAATGAAGTAATTACGAGAACGGGATGGAAAACGATAACGCACAATTACGATAGCACGGAGTATATACGTGTGCTCGCGACGACTGTAGGTGCATAACTGATGTTAAATACTAAATAACAATTATTACATCGATAAGTCAGAGTACAGATGATAAACTTTGAAATTGCATGTTGTAATTTTAAAATATATTACGTTCCAGATAAAAGAGGCTCGCAGGCTGAATGCGGCTCGTGGGCCGCCAGTTGCCCACCCCTGTAATATATGAAGGGTTGCAACTGTGTATTATATATAGATATATACAAAATTTATAAATATTTAATATTTTGTATAATTAATTGAATTGCTAAAGTAATTTGTATGTTCAATATTAATTCTATATTGAGTATTGATTTCTATATTAGTAAATCACATAGAAATTTTTTATTATTTTGGTTATACGATACTATAGTTTTATAAAGTTACAATTGTTTTTATGATTTGAATAATTTTTTTCAACTTATTGTTTCATTGCGATTACTTTAAATAAACATACGTAAACAAATATTCAAGTAATTATTTTATCCATGACATTTTTGAGAGATCTCTGTGTCATTATATTCGAAATTATATTAGTATACAGATTAAATACTTTAACTATATTATTAAATTATAATATAATGATTAGTTCACAGTTATAAAATATTTCATTGTGACACAATTTCAAGAATGTTTTTTTAATTTAATTAGTTATTGTTGCTTTTAAATATGTATAAATAATGCAGTCATAATATTACATTCTAAACTGATCTTCATAAGTTTCGAAATACATTGTACCTTCCTATAACATGTCCACCGTCATATATCCTGTCCTATAGAAGAGAATTGGCAAAGGTCAAACACTCCGGCCTCAATATCTTACTGAATTTTTAATATTAATGGATTTTAATACTATTTTAATGAATATATATAGGTTTACCTATGAGAATTAATTTGTGATGAAAATGCATACGAAAGTTTTCTTTATAACATAATAAAGATTAGCTATTATTTATAGTCTTCAAAAATAATAAGAGTTAGTTAATAAAAATGTTTATAAAATAAGAAAATAAATTATTTATCTTATTTTATTAAATGAGAAGTATTATAAAAGATGGAATTTTTATAAAAATAGATTGCACAAACTTAATTAATAATTTTTTTTGTAAATTATTCAAATAGTTAAGTACGGTTAATTCATGTATAAGAGAGAATGAAATAAATGTTTCATATATTTGTAAATTTTGGATCATTCTTTAAGATTTTTTTAGAAGAATGAATGTGTGTTGTTTCCACAAACAACCTGTATCTGAGTCGATTCATTGAAGTTGCTGTATAATTGAAATACAACTACTGTCCCCTAATTAAATGCTGTCGAAAAAAATATACTGTGTATTATAATCATTTGGTACTCTAATAGTAGGCTTTCGTCGACATAATTATAACATAATTTATATTTTATATAGATTCAACATACATACCCGTGAAATAATTATAATAATAACATTATTAAAATGTTGCTTCAGGCTCTACATATGAAACCCTTTTGAACACTTTAATATTAATATGGGACCACCTGCATAAGATTTGTGAATATAAAGGTAGTTGGTTCCATGGTTATCAAATATAAATTTAAATATTTCAATGTTTTGTATATAAGCTAATATAGTTTTAATAAGATGAATATTAACGATAAGATAAATAGGAAATATTTATACAGTATTTTAAAGATTTTGAATTAAAATAAATTATTGATCTATGTTGTTAAATTTTATTGAGAAGGTACTATACACTGTATGTACTATTGTATAAATAGGTGCTTACATTTTTTATTGTTTTGATGTCTAAGTATTACAATTTTCTATATAGTATATTTAAGTTAAATAATTTCCGTTATTTTTTATTTTAAATCACAAAATAAAAATATATGTCTCTTTAAACAGAAAAATAAGGATAAATTAAAATATTATACGTACTAATTAACATGTTCTTCTAACACATGACTTAAATAAAGTAATCCATACAAGATTTAAAGTAAATACAATTTTAAATTAAAATACATTATATATATATTTATTAATAACAATTGTTCACTTTCATTTCTTTTGAATTTTTCGAAGCATAATTGGTATAGTCTTTTATATTTGATAAAGATATTAAATAAAAAATGTAATAAAATATTTTCATAATGCATTTATTCAATTATTTACACGTGTTTCAAAATTATTATAAAATCACATGGTGTTGAGTTGTCATAAACAAACGGCAGTGTCGTGACAAGTGGCTCTGGTATAAAATCGCCGCTTATTGGAAGGTCAAAATGGAAATAATTATTATTTAACTTGGGAAATGAATGCAAAAATGTAAATATTCCTTGTGGGGTAGCAAAAACTGGTTTTACCTAAGAAAACTAGTAAACTGGTTGATATTCAAATAAGTAAAAACGATTTTTAGGAATGTAATTGTAAAAAATGTTATTTCTAATTAAAAAAAATGTTTTGGTGTTTAAATTAAAATACATTACACCTACTCATACTAATGTTTACAATGACTTAGTATATTTATTAGTAATATCATAATATTATTTATCATCACACGCTTAATATTTTTTGGTAATTTAATATATTGTTTTATTTTTACATTGTTCATGGATTTATTTGATATAATAATAAATTTATATATAATACATTTTACTTACTTGTACATTAAAAAATGAACTTTTTTCTTAAATCATTATTATTCAAACTTAAATAATAATAAAATATTTAAATATTTGTTATACTCAAAACGTATTTTAAAATTTCCTATAATTCTTATGTTCTATATATATTTGTACAAATGTTAATAATTTAAAATGGCAAAAATAAAATACTTTAATTATATTGAAATAAATATTTGTGTACATTTTTTTTCAAATTTTAATCATAGCAAACATTTTAGGCATTAATGATATATCAGTTATAATAATTATATTATTTTTTAAAGAATTATTAAAAATCGATTACTGATTAGTATAAAATGTATAATGATATAATTATATTATGTAATTTTATTTACGAAATATATAGGTAGTTAAAATATTTTTTATTTTGGGTATCAATATATTTTTATTTAAACACAACGAAATATTGTTAATAGTCATTACTTTTGTATCCATCTTTTTTTTGATGTAAATCGTACCGGAAAATATCAAATGTAAAAACGTTTATATTTATTAGAAATCGTCACGTGTACATCGAGTGTTGGTGGGGTGTCGACCGGGTGGCCGGCACTCAGCGCCCAGGATCCTGCCGCTCATTCTGGCTTCATGCGCCGCAGTTCAAAAATACAGTGCGAATCCGTATTTCATATGAGTGCGTATCAAATATTTCGATTTTTTCTCGACGTTATTCAGTGTTCGTGCGTTTATAACAATTAATTGTGTTTTTAAAGTGTCCTATTAAATGTTATTGTTTTAATTTTTATACATTTCGAATATATGTGTACATGTTATTTATTTTAAAAGTGTAGTTATAAAGAGTTTTCGTTGGACAATTATGCCGAGAATTTAAACGTAAGTCTTATAATATATTTAAAGTTGAGGAATAAAAATACCAAATAAAATAATAGGGTTCTTTATTAACGTATACCCAAATGTTGTGTAAGTTTATCGAATAAACAATATATATTTTTAATTATAATAGAGAATCGGTGTTTTATGTCCTATTTTAAAATTACAAAATTATAAAATTAATAAGCACACTTTTAGGATAATATTTTTGTTTCTTAAAATATACGAATTTCAGTTTTGAAATAAATTATAAGGGTCTAAATCGCACATTCGAGATGGAATTCCAATAATATTTAACCATTAGGTAGTATATAATACCTGTGCGAGTGTAATAAAAGCAGCAGGTATATGTTTATAAAAGGTTTCTTCTTAGAAAAAAAGAAGGAAAAAGATTGTATGGATTATTATTGTGTTGGAAACTAAATGGGGCACCATAAAATATGCCAAAATTCTTTACTGGATATTAGACGCATACGGTATGTAATTGTATTTATCTACAATCGCTGTTTATTATACTTGATTTTATACAATAGCATTATTAGATTTAAAACACAAACAACTAAAAAATGCTAACGTGTTTAATTAAAATGTATTTCATTAATATTGTATTTAATATATTACTTAAGTTAGGACAGTTAGGTTAAAAAACAGCATATTCATCAATTTCGCTTTATAGTCTAAAAAAGTGTTCATATAAAAAAAAAAAAATGACCGAATGGAAAATTTTCAATAAACTTTTATACATATTTTAATGCAAATAGAAAAAGATTGTAATGAATTACATAAAACAGTGTTTAGTTGAATTATTTGGTTTTTTTTTTTAGCAAAAAACATGCATTATATTAAGAAGAAAACTAAATATTTTTATCAACGTTAAATTGTTTATTTAATTAAATAATTTAAATAATTTATTTTAGTTTTCTACTGTTTATATTATTTTGTATAAGGTTGAAGTTGATAATATAATATTTTTTTTTACAAATGGATTATATTTTTTTTATTGTAATATTTTTTTACTTGCACTGAAAACATTTAATTTTGAAGAATTTGAACTTTATAGTCTTAATAATGAAACTTGTATTTATCTTAATAACCAAGATTTAATCACAGGATTCAAATATACCAGTTTTTTTAAGTTTAAGGTTATAATAGCCAAAATATCGAATACGATATCTTAACTTAAAATATATATAGGTAATACAAAGGATATATTTTGTTAAATATTGTTTTAGTTTAAATTATATAAGTTATTTGAAGTTAAATTTAATGTCTGGTAGTATAAATATTTCATACGGTCATGAGTGAAATTCCCAATTGATTTATGAAAAGAGTAAATATTTTATCATATTGTTAACTTCCGATATATATTCCCACTGAATAACACAAAAAAACTCATATATTTTTGCCAAATAAATGGCTATTTCACCCTGTTCAGATATTAAAAATAATCGTCTTGAACATTCCAACTGTTCGCTTGTATTTCCTGTCTACGTATAAATTTAATGAACATTTAAAGTTAAATTATTATTATTCAATTAAATACCTACAGCTTAAAAATTAAATACATTTGAGAATTAAAAATCTTGAAAAGTAAAACTAGATAAAAAGAACTCATTTATTAGCAGATAGGTTTGGAAATAATTGAATTTAATTTTCGTTGAAAAATTGACGAAAACCGATTTCCATAAATCTCAAGAATTATAAATGATACACATACACACATTATATAATATATACAAATTTAAAATAAAAATAATTTCCCAGACTACTTGAAACTGGTTTTCTGTTATTTTCGCATGTGTTAAGTTTAATAACCTTATTTCATAAGTATATAATATATACCTATGCAACCAGCTCATTCGGTAAACGTGCGGTCGCCTTTGAATATTGTGTATGCCATCAAGCAGGACCGCATGCTGTTATCAACCTCGAACGCGCATATCCGTTCGGGAATTATAATAAAAATCTACTAATTTTTTACTCCTTTTGACTTTTTTTTTTTTTTCTTCACTGATGTAGTACTATTATTATTGTTGTTGTTGTTGTTGTTGTCGTACGTGACTCGGGTTGGAAATCAGTGTCAAGGAGAAAACACATTACGTCCGCGTCGTGGCGTTCGATACCGGAGTCTGCAACGTCCAAAGCCTACGCGTGTTTATTACGACGTACAAAATAACTGTATCCATCCTCCGGATCAGTGAACGGGGATTGTTTTCTAGGGCCGGGACCGACTGCAGCAGGCGACCTTAAGCGCCCACGTAATCACGTATATTTAATCTGGCCGCGGGGCGCCATTTGCAGGACAAAAAGCATGAAATGACTATCACGAGTGTTATAACGGAGATTCAATATTCGGGCCGTTGCAAGGGACTGTCGGGCACCGCGGCAAAACATGACGTAATACAAATACCATATTACAAATACACAATGCGTTGCGGTTCGGCATTTGTTGTACGGGACGCGTAAGGTGGTCACGGGCGAGTGCACGCGAAAACGATGGGGGAGGGGGAGGAGGAAAATAAAAATAAAAAAAACGACATGAACCGTACACGCGTCAACACGGTGCTCTTGCCGCGTGGCGGTTGGTTATGATACCTGGCCGGCAGTGCCGACGGACCCGGTCGGTGACGACGAGGACGCGCGACGCGGCGGTGGACGCCGCGAGTTCCGCGACCGACGACGGTGCAGCTGGCGCGCTCGCGTAGACCTATAACAGCCGGACCGCGGGCCACCGGTACGGTCATTGGTACCCCACCAACGGGCCGCGGTGGTCGGTGTTCGCGACCATCCCTCTCCTCCGGCGGACGTCGCGTGGCGCGTGAAATGTCGCAGCCGTGGGGTGGATAGGGGGGGGGGAAACCGCACGCGCGCAGACGTTAACGTAAACTTTTACTTTCCGCGGTCCTCGGAGCGCCGCCGCGAGTCCGTCATTTCAAAGACGACAGCCGCGCGCGTCCGCGCAATATGTTATTAGTATTTAGGTACTCGCGACGTGGATCGAGAATAACACGATATCTGGGAAATTCTACATTTTCCCGTGTGATCGGAGAAAATAATCGTTTTGAAAACTATTCACTTGCTTCGCGAACGTTGTTTTGTTGAAAGTCCGCGATCAGAATGCAGGGCCTGATCTGTAGTAATCCTTCTCAGGGACGTTATTTTTTTTTTTTTTTTTTTTTTGGTGGGATCAACTCATGCATTTTTCACGGTCCAGAGTCTTGTTATTCCAAAGTCATCGAAATATAAATACGACTTTTATAAAACCTATGACATGTTGTAAATCAGAAAAATGAGACGCCCGCTATACGGATACAATTCACAATATTTTTGGACTGGTTTGTTGACGTGGTCCCCTCCACACACGTTAATCCGCACTTTGGTAAAATGAGCCGCCGAGTCGGCAATACAATAAGAGTATGCCGACTACTCTACTTTAGAAAAATCTGAAATTACGCCACTGATCCTCTCTGCTGGATTTCCATAAAACATTGAAATATCTGCTTCTTCCCGCCAAAAGTATTGATATTCTGTAAAAAAATAAACGAAAGGGAATTTATAAATAGAAAATGAAATTGCTTGTGTTTTTTTATGTTCCTATAAATGTTTGATACTTTTTATACGCCATTTAATGCTATACACATAAGTGTATGATTTATTTTATTGATACTGTTTTATCTATATTTTTTGTAATTCAATTAGATCGTCTTATAGATCTATTCGTCAAGATAAAACGTACTTGCTAAAAATATAATTTTTCCCCCCTAAGACGTATCCCGTAAAAGTAATTATTTAAAACCATTTTTTTCGAACTATATTTTTCACGGAAAACTTGGTCTTTTTTACTAAAAATTAACAATTATTGATCAAATTATTCATATTTATGGTCAGTTTTCTGCATGTATGTAAAATAAATATGCAGCTCTCACTTAAAGACAGTTGATTCATAGACTTTGGAAAAAAATATGTCCGAACTTATAAAATTAAAATAATTAAAATAATTTAGTTTCAATTAATATAAAAAAAAAAAAATTACAGCGAAATTGTTTGTTATATTTGTCAATAGAAATAAGAGAAATTTGGTGTAATCTATTATTTTCGATCAGTTTGATAGATTACGCACTTACGGTGCAATTTGTTATTTCGAAGATTTCGTCGCCGTCATCGAGTGAAGAAAATAAAACCTTTTTCATTTTCTTTTTTCTTTAATATTTTTATCGTCGTAATAATAAAAAGATATTCTCGTAGCCGCCTATCCTTCAAAATTTAACGTTCTAGTCATAATAATAAAAATATTTTGTGCGATTTTTTTGGCCCGTGGCCCGAGATATCACTTCGTTTTGTCGCCACTGTCGCTGCCATCGTCCCCGAAACTGTTTAACTGTTTGCGTCACACCGACAATATGTACGATTATTATAGTAGGACAAAAGCAGTATGAAATAATAATACGTATATAAACTCCAATATAAAATCTTTTTCCTTCCCCGTCTCGTCGTCCCATATACTCGATATACCGCACCGCAGCGGGGTCCTGGAGGTCCATTAACACCAGACATTTCGGCCTCCAGTTCTTCCGGTACACAATATGTGCTCGTCTATTACTCTGTATAATAATGAGTACATTTATGTTAGTGTATTCTTTTTTAAACAATAATATTTTATTTCGCTTCATTGTTTTCCCCTTAACGTTTACACATTTTTCGGAATAAAACCAAAGTTTCACTTAACGGTATTGCGTATAAGCACCACTATCCGAGATTTTTCTATAGTGGTTTCTGTTAATATATTATATTGGTATAAACATAAATCGATTATTCTTTTACCGAATAATAATCACCTATATAAATATTAGGGCATAGTTAGATCTCTGATTATAATTTCTGTGTTCAGAACACACTGTTTATTAAAATGTAAAAGAATCGTTTTGCGGTTCTGTCTATCGAGAAATGCTTTATGATTTTTCTTTATATCTTATAGTCCGTCCCAAAGGAAGAAGTAGAAATAGTCAGAAATTATTTTAATTTAATATTTCATTAAACGCGAAGAGATTTTATTGAAGTAGTTTATGTTCCCAAACATTTATATCCTTGTCCTAATATAATAAAATATGTACATTTACCAAAATCATAAAGACACAATATAAGCTGTTTGTGTTTTTTTTTCTTCGAAACCGGTTCACGTGCTGTACCACAAAGCCGACTATAATGAAAAAAAGTGTTTGAAATATTTATTAAAAATATAATCCGAATTGACCATATTGTGTTTATGAATTCCGGAGTAATTAGTGAAGTAAATATAATAAATACTAAATAAATTCAGTATAGTATTTTTTTTTAATTATTTCATATAATGTAAGAAATAAATAAGTTATACGTACACGGTTCATAAATTATAATTTAATTGATTTTTACATTTTAACACCTTGCTATGCATAGATATCAGATTTAATTTTAAGAATTAAATAGTTATATCAAAAATACTGCCTTGTTTCCTGAGGCATACCTGTATTAGTATGGATATGTACAATCTATGCACTGTTATTTATATTGACACGGTAGTTTTTTAGTTTTCCGTCATGATATAATAGATTATTATTATCATAAATGTTTTCGTAAACACATACTATATCGGTTAATGCGGGATATGTCTTATTTAGTATACCAACGTCTATATTATTAATATATATATTCACAGTTTGCACGTGTTTTTAGTCGAGTATACATTGGTATAAATAAATCATTTTGGAAGTTTCGGACTAAAATTTATGTGATATCTTTATATAAGATCCGACTTACTCTATTGTTATACCACGCAGTTGTTTTGATACAAAAGTTTACTTAATATTTATGAAGACATATCGTTCACATTAGTTTTATTATCACATGTGCGTTGGTATGATGATAAAATATCGAGTCCTTAAAATAGACTAATGCAGTCATTACTGTGACATTTTATTTGTATTTAATAAAATAATAAATTATTAATAAAATCATTTTATCGTTTATACAGTGAAATATTAATATTATCGACTACCGTGTTATGTATTACTTATACCTTATGTAGTTCATATCTGTTTCAAACTGCCTATCATAATACCAATTGAAAGTATAATTCTAGTATTATTACAATCAAACGATTACTAACTGGTTAAAAGGTTTTGGATTTTGGTCTTTTCACGCTAACCTATATCCTTACTTATTAAAATCCTACAGAGTTTACCCCTAATTATTCCTTGAATTCATCCTTATATTATGGTGATACATGATAAAATTAAAATTAACTATAATAAGTAATAATTGTCTACTTACGGACTAAAATAAAATTAATGGTTAACAAATAATATGTAGTGAAAATATTGAATTTGCGATTACTACAAGTAATAATTACCTAAAATTTTGGTAATATTTAATTTGAATTATATGAGAATAATGGATTTCTATATCCGATAATATTTAAAACCTGTTGGAAAATCAACTTTTACTGATTTTGATTGAGAGATCTTGGTAAAAATGTTTTCAATGATGCATTTACAATTTTTCTCAGATTAATTTTAGAGTAAAATAATAAACAGATTATATGAAAATGATTGCCTTGAAATATTATTAATTTTATTAAGAAAAAAATGCAAGTCGTTCGAAAGTAACCTTGAACAATACGACTTTTTATTGCTAAGTAATATATTTAAATTTGAACGGTAATAATCACAAACGATTTCAGTTATAGATGTATTTATGTAACTTTTTAGGATACGGAATATTTGCTACTTCTCGGTTTTTTTTCCATAGTTTTATTCTTTAATATTTATTAATCAAACTTAGACAAATACAATTTATAGGAAATTTTATTTTTTGTGACAACTTAACATAATAACTGTACATTATTCTAAATAGGTTTACAATGCAAGTTTATTTTTCCTAAAAGTATAAAAAATTATATTTATTACTATACATTCTTCAATTTTTTATTTTTACTTATTAGTTTTTTGTGCTTTGACATATTTTATGAGAAATATTATTATTTTTTTTATTAAACATAATTGTGTACTTTTCCTAAACATAAAACATGATAATTATTAGAGGTTAGTAGGTTAACACTCTAGATAATCTAAGAATACAATTTTTGATACTTTGTACTTAGTATTTTATTTTAAACAACACGGATTTTTATTTGTTCTTCAATTTCTTAGATATCCTTATGTTTTTTTCATATAGAAAAACGATACGCCTTCAATATATAAGAACATAAATATCGTTGGCCGAAAGGATTACAGATTGCCTTTGTTTGGTTGTAAAAACAAATTCATTGCTTCAATACTTACATCACAGTTATAGGGGTGGAAGAATAACTACTTACTTGGGGAAAGTCCTGGGGCTAATTGTTTTATAAAATCGAAGGGGTATTATTATCGCTTGATTTTTTCCTTTTTATTTTTTTATAATGATGAATATTTTCTTCTAGCACGCTGCTGATCCCAAATGTTTTTAAAACACACGTGTAAGGAATACGATTTACATGATACTTGCATTAGTGGTAGAGAGGGTCAAAACATGTATTGTTTATTTTATCAATAAATTGAAATACATACCTTATATAATATGTTCATAGTTGTATTTTATAGTTTTTAAATAGACATGAGTGGGATATCGGTGCCTTTGTGTGGAAAATAAAATGTTACAACATAAATGCATAAATTCTCTCATACTTAGAGAACATCTATATAGAATTACCTGGCCCTTGAGTAGTTAATTTAATATCTAAACAGTAGTTAAATTAAAATAAATATGTTTTGAACTATAAAAATGATGATACATTATTAACAACCAATAATTAGTTGGTGGTAACGAATATTTTAAGTAAACACAATGTTAACTGGTTAAAAATGCATACTTAATATTATTGTGATATGTGTATGTAACTTTATCGACACATTGAGGTATCTTATTTTTTATAATGTAGGTAATTCTTTGTAACAATGTTGTTACTATCTTATCCAAAAGTATTGTATATGATTTATTTTATATTGAATAAATATATAAAATAAATACAAATTGTATTAATTATTTATTTACAAATAAATAATAATTTACAATGTTAAGTATCTACTTATTCTTTTTATGGTGTTTTTTTACGATTTAGTATGATTTTTTATTAAATATTTTATTTTATTTTTCAGATGGATTGTTTTTTTTTTAAAAAGACAAATTACGAATATACTTAACCAGGTAAGATTATTTGAAAATATTTTGGAATATTTAGTTAAAGTATTTATGAGTATTTTGCATTAAGTTTACTTTTAGTTTTTAGTCAATCGGGTGAAACTTTTAGAATATATTTTAGCTTTAATGGCATTACTTAGAATTTAGTTATTAGTAGCAAGACCCTTTTTGATATTTTTGATAGACGTAATTTATTTTTAACGAATGTTTTAAGATTACTTTTATATTTGACTTAGCTGGTATAGTAAACTTAAAATTAAAAATATTGAACTTGGAAATTAAACGTATGTTACTATCACTGTGATTGATACATATATGTTTTTTTTGTCAGTGATATTTTATGTAATTCAATAATGAGATATTGGAAATGTTCAAACTAAACATTTTAAGAAAAATAAGTTCATTATGGTCAGGTTCTAACTTCAACATTGCTTAAGACTTATTGTTTGAACATAGCATTTTAAGATTAAAAACTTTGTAGATAAATCGGATCCTCTAAGCTACTTATTTAAATTAAATTATCATAAAAATACAAGGAGACTATTAAGAAAATATAGACTATTAACTATATTATTTAATTGTAACATATATTCTTCGTATTTAGTTGAGCTAAATAGTTTCTACTGTTAGCCAATAAAATTTAATAAAAAAAAAAAACTTTATTATAAAATATTTATGAATCTGTTTGATTGAATAAAATAATTAATTTAAATAACCTAACCAATTATAAGTTAACTTTTAACTCGATTAATTTAGTTGTTTTTTATTATTTATTGAATTATTATTAGCCTATTTTTTTTTTTTTTTTTTAAAAACAGTACGATTCTAATATCTAAATTATTGTATACATTTTGTAACTAGGCTATGAACAGTTTAATTTATAATAAATTTCTTTTTGAAACGAAATTAACGATTCATAAACCTCCACCAATCAATAGAAAAACTGACATAATATTTTTAAATTTACAAAACTTTTATGTGGTTGATAGAATAAATTGCAAGGCTAAATAAATGTAAATATTAAATTTGATTTGTTTGAATGTATTGCGAATGAGCCTTGACAGCTTAAAATGCATACTACTCGTATTGACAGCGAATTAAATACGTGGTACTATTCTTATAATACATTCTCCATAAGTAGAATTAAAAAACTCAATTAATATAATTGTTCTGTAATCTTAAGTGCATTTATGAAAAAGCATTATTTTAAAGCTAAGAAAAATTAATTTTATATTCTTAAAGCTATTAAATTGTAAGACTAAGGAAGTGTAAATATTCAGTTTAAATATTAGAATATATTGTGAATGAGCCTTGACAACATATAATGTTTGATATTGACAGCGAATTAAATATGTGGTACTATATTTTAATCATACATTTACAAGAAAAATTTAAAAAAATATACATCAATTCAATTGATGCATTATTTTATGCACAATTATGAAAAAGTATTATTTTAAAATATGCATAAAAATAGTAGTTCATTTTGTTTAAGTTATACTTAAAGTTAAACAGCATTTATGCAGTGGAACAATAATGTCTGAATTATAATTGTAAATTATTTGACGGAATATGATCGAATAATCTCTGTGTATTTTTATGAACGACAATCACATAAAATAGTCTACTTGCCTACTGATGACAAATTACATTGGCACATATCCACGTAGTACGTATAGGCACAGCCCTATCCATTATGGATGGAGCTTTTACGTCGTAAACTTCGGGGCGTAATATAATTATAGCTTTTGATGGTGTTCCATTGGGAATTAGAATTATATATATAATATATACTTATAAAATTACGTACCAACTACGTTATAGTTAGTCTACAAGATAAGTATCCACTTTATGTTTGAAGTTTTTACGATTAATTATTAAAAAAATAATTAGTGTTTTTGGTATTCGGATATTTTAATGAATTATATCTACCTTCGTCAATATTTTATTTTTTAACGTCTAAAAAAATGTATTATGACTTTCCAAACATTTATTTTATTTATGTAAATGAGTAATTATTTAAAATAACTGCAGATAACACAAAATAAAAATTAAAAATCTTTTGATTTTTAAGTATTAAAATATTTACTACCTTAACAGAACGGTTATACTAGTATTCATTGAAAATTACAAATCTCTTTAGTTAATATTTTTTGACTTAAAAAAATGTAATTTTATCGAAAACAGATATCCTCGTAGGTTTTTTTTTGTCATATTTCTCAATTATTTGAAAAACTATTGACAAATTTAAAAAATTATCTTCTGTTCATTTTGACAACATTTTTTATTAAAAATTATCCCTCTTTTTGATGGTCGGATTCATGTGAACAACCATATAAAATAACAAAGAATCTCGGTCATGGTAAAATCAATATGTTCCTCTCTTCACTTGGAATCTAAAATCTCATAACGAGTATTGTATTGTGAACTCAAGATAAAATTACGTTAAGATATGTGAAGTTTATACCATTTACTTGAAACTTGAAAGAATTCTTTGAAATTACAGAGGTTAACCCGAATGCTTTATTTACCTCTTTTGTGGTCACACAATAACTGTGCAGGTTTATAATTCATGTTTGCTTGTTGTTCCATTAGCGCCAGTATGAGAACATATTATTGACTATTTACTATTTCTTTTCAGCATACCTATTGTAAAAAAATAGTGCTCTTATATTTTCTTGAACCCAATGAAATATACGCGCACGTAAAGGTGTTTCTCTTTATAGACATATATAGGTTATTGAGGACGTCCGGGAATTATGGGCTTCGGTCTGCACATGTTTTATAGATAATTATATAAATATATATATATATATATATATATATACATTTATGTATATAACATGTAGTAGGTATATTGTGTCTCGACCAATTTTAAACTAATCGAAGGTTAAAACGGTTGGTTAACAAATCATGTAATTAGACGGAAACGGAATCAACAGTGAACTTCACAGTAGGTTCTCTTGTAATATAATCCACGCATAGAATGTATATTACCTCTAGGCAATTTGACTATACACATGGCGTTCAATCGATTTTTTTCCTTTATCGATATTGTAAGCATTTTATTTTTTATATGCACAAATTACGTGGTCAATATTAGCATTAAATACGAGTCAGTAAATATTTCCAATTTCGTAGACACCCTAAATAATATACAGTGTCTATGTATAGAGCACATACTTTCAAAATAATGTTAATTTAATAAATAATCATGACAATAAAATATAATAAATAATAAATAATCAAAACAAACATGATAATCACATTATAACTTTGTTTACGATTAAGCAAAATATTTTTATTATTTTTAATTACTTGAATAAAATATAATGTTCATCGAATAATATATTGCTTTAATTTTCGTAAACTTAAGTTTTTAAGTTGTTATTTAAGTAGAAAATAAATTATTATTGTTTTCACCTAAATGTATTTTCATCATTTACAATAGTATTCTAAAAGTAAACTAATATCTATAAAATGACCTCGATTACAGTTTTATAACATTTATGACCATATCTCGATCAGCTTATGTTTAAAAATTTACCAAAATCAATATGTATAATATAAAACATACAACTAGTAAATTATACTGTCCGATTAAACGGAATATATTATCCAATATTTGTTTAATTTTTATGAAATCATATTATTTTATATTGTTGTTACACTTGGTTTTGGATCCCATTAAACCCTAGACAAATATAATGCATCATAATGAAAATAAGATTATGCTGCATTATTGATAAGGTTTTTATCAAGTATGCCAAAGTAGACGGATTTCAATATTTAAACTTTATTCTCGAATACTCAAATTTTACCTAATTTACCACGTATAAAGTGGCTGGTTTCGTATACGTAGATACTAATTCTTCTCAATTATATAAAAGCGCCTACCATTTTAAAAATAATTGCGGGTTATAGCACCGGTTTCCAGTAGCGAAATATTACCATGATAATATTAGGCTTTATAGCTAACTCTACGCTATATTTATGTATAGTTTTACATGATATACTAAGTACCTATAACACGACATAGTATTGGAAATATGTTGCTGGCAACAAAAATAATTAATTTTAAATGTGTATTGCAAATTGTAGTGGTGTTTTAATTATCATCAAACGTTAATTAATTAGTTAATTTATTTATCTTCGATTGGATTGGGCGAATTTTTTCGCTGCTTATCAGCGAACAAAGTCACTCCAGTCAGTAAACTTGCTCGCTTACTCACTTACTCATGCATGTGATGTGTGACAGCCATACGTTGCGTAATAATAAATAATAATAAGTATTATTTATAAAAATGATAAAATATTATTATATTAATTATAAGCTGTTTTTGGTATTTTCTTTTAATTTCTAAACATTGAAATGGAATAGTAAAAATAAAAGTGATCTTTTTTAAAAATGTACGAACAATATCCATTACTTTGGAAAATAAAACTTAAGGACTATTTTAAATAAATTTTCATTTTTTTCAAACTCCTTACGTAATAAATGAGAAATAATAACAACTAAGCCTCCGAACATCTTACTACCACGATTATAGTCACAAGTACACTTGCGATTTTGCTAGTCATGTCGATGACACAAAGCGATTTTACTCGTCGAAGTGTAAAAATGCCAGTGACAAAAGTAGCCTGTTCGTCAACTTTAATCGCGGGTGAGCAGCATATGTTCAGCACGTGACGAGTGAGTGAGCAAGTATACTACATTAAGAAAATTTAGTAGCAGTGAGGAAAAATTCACTCAATGCAATCGAGACTTGAAGCATTTCAATCAAATTTTACATCGCAAAGAAATCGTTTTGTACATTGGTTTATTGTAAATGAAACATTATATCAATAAAAATAGAATGATGAAAATAAAATGCATTTTAATTTCAAATAAAAATTCATAGTAATATATATTTTACTTTGATTTCTTAAGACTGAAACTAATTAAGATACAAAGTATTTTATGGAAAAACAATATTCTTAAACAATGACTCAGTCAATTATGGCTA